AGGTGGTATATCTTCTAATTTGTTTACTTTTTAATTGCACTTTAAGTTAAAATCAGTGCATTTGCGGCAAGAATAATTTGCAAAAGTGTATTTGCGACAAATCTCATTATACAAACCTTTAGCAATTTCCCTGTTCTAAAAGCAAGTTTTTCAAGGAAATCTTCTGCGTTTTCCCAAGCTTCTATCCGGTAAGTCTTGCGGATGTACTCTGGTTTGGCTCGCTCAAGAACCGCACTTATGTGATCCTCAGGGCTTTTAATCTTTTCAACTTGCACCTACAAAAAAAAAAAAAAAGGAGACCTTATTAAGAGACCTTTATGACAATGTCATATTTTCATACCACTCTAATAAAGATACACATGGCTGCCATCACACATTTTGGAGACTCTTACAAAACCACAGGTTGGGTCCATCCCTAGCCATTCTCTCCCAGACACATGTACACACACACACACACACACACACACACACACACAGACATATACTCACAGAAGCACGCACATTCCCACTTATGCAGACACGCATACAACAATATATGCCAATGTTGTTTTAACCCAAAGGCATAGATATATAAACTACAAACTTACATCATTGCTTTCTGTGCATACCTCATCGCGACTTCAGGATTCAAGGTGCACAGCTATGGACATTACATTCTCAGACTGAGTTTGGTTACAATTCTTTGCCACCTTTTCTAGGTATTACCCATATAACACAAATAGCAAAAAGAAAAAGGATGAGGGGTCATTTAAGAAAAAAAAGTTGCAAGTGTGTCCCTTATTTGACATATGTAAAACATAAAAATAAGGGCAAAGCAATTATACCACTTGTTTGAAATCCTACACTTACTTATCCACCATTCCCATACATCTACTCAGCAAATGCATGTGTATCTCACTTAAATGGTTTATTTTAGGAAGAGTTTATTATCTTTTTATAGAGTGATGAGGGGTGCAGAGTTTAAAACAGATGCAAGTTACAAGTCACGTGATTATTTCTTAAATGTAAAAGCATTCTTATATACTCACATCAGTTTTAGCATATGATTACCAGACGCAGACATACCTACTTGTTGACTTGCAGCCAAATAAAGGTCAGTACAAGATATTTTAATACATTAATGTAATTTAATACTACAAATAAATTAGCTCTAAAAACTCACCACGCCTTTCAAAACAACCTCTGTTTCAGAGTCACCTGATGGGTAAACCACACCAGGGCAGTCGATAAGAAATATCCTACGCATAAGAGTAATATATTGCCAAACCTAAAAATAAAAAAATAAATCAATAAATGCAGAATAGGACCCTGATCAAGACCCATTGGTACCCAGTAGACTTTTGGAAAACTTTGTTCCAGACAGTTCATCAGAATCAAATGCCTTTTAATCCACACTGACATATCAATTATCTGAGGTTTAATAATTTCAATCTTGAATTAAAGCAATAGTTTTCTAATCCAGTAGTTTATACAATATTGCCTATGATTAATTTGAATAGTTTCAATCCAATCACAGTCCGGAAATGATGGATTTGCAAAATACAAGTAAAACAAAATATTGGCAACTTCTGACCTGCATGTTGGACTCCCTTTATTTATGCCATAGTGGCATACACATGGCTTTAAACTGTTGCATTATGTCTGTCTGTCTTGATATCTGTCCATTTACTTAAGCTTGTTCAAGTAGAACATTTTGGATAAAGTGACATGTATATTTTTTCAATTTGTCTGAAATACATCAATGTAACAGTGCTTATTTGTACTTTAATTTTCTAACAGGGCATAGTTTGTATAAATTTGGCAACGCTGCTAATGTCTGCTTGTATGCAGAACAATTTGCTAATTTTGCAGGTATAAATTAAATTGCTTACAGGTATTTTCAGCAAGTTTGTTTTGTTGTTAAATTCAATATGGGTATAATAATTCCATTAATGTGCTGATAAACGTTATCCGGAAGGGACTATATATAATGTCTTTTTTTTCAGCTAAACTGGTAATTGGAAATGTGCTTTATATTGTAATGGTGTACTCAATAAGAAATGCTTTTATCCTGTCAGATCATGCCTTTAAAGCTGGTCTACTAAAAATAAAATTATATTTTATATTTGCAATGACAGTACAAAGTTTTAAAAACCAGTACCAATATGCCTAATACCCCAGGTCAGAGAAAGAAGTAGCAAGGAAATTCAGATGAAGTTAGTGAGATTTAGTGACAGCAGTAAACTTTAAGGATAGGTTTAGGAGTCAACCCCTAAACCCCACTGAGTGACATCACAGCAACTACATACAATGTATATACCTGTAAAGTCAAGATGAAGAGTCGACACACTCTACATATATCCACACAAATATAAACTATTTACATACAATATACATTTTAAACTCCACTTAAAAGGTACACTCCACTACACAAAACAAAAGAGAACCACTTTTTAGTAAATATATCACAAATAAAACATGCATTTAATTGTGCATTTTTTAAATTCGGGTTAGATCTTAAAATAGCTTGGAAGAGTTTCAAATCTGTGGTCTGCCTTCTCCTTCCCTAGCACATACTTTTGGTGGCGGTCTAATTACAAACTACCCAGTGCAACTTAATGAGAATTCTTTGCTCTGAGCAATTGCCTCCTTTGAGGTAACTACCAGGAAGTAACAGACTGGGTGTTTGACTGAGAGGAGTGTAACATCGTTAATTTATAAAAGTGCCAATTTCTATTGAAACCTGTACATTTTGTAAAATGAAAACGAGGAGACACTCTTTACACATAAAACGAAAGATAAAGTGCATTCATTGTTTGAAATCTTCCTTGAAAGTAGAGAACAGCATTCGATGTATCCCAAATAGCTTACCTTTGTTTCACCTGCAATTGGAGCAACGTTGCACACCTTCTTGGAACGTAATGTGTTTATCACCGAACTCTTGCCCACATTTGGATAACCTATAAATCCCACACTGATCTGTTTTTTGTCTGTGTGCAACTATAATGGAGGAAAACAAAATATTAAATAGCGACATTAAGGTGCATTTATGTGTAAAAGTTACCCCCTACGCATGCCAAAAAACACGTAGCACACATCATCTGCGTTAGTGAACAATACCATGTTAGTCATGAGATAACAGGTGCACTTGACACACCCTCCCTCAATCCAAAAAGATCAAGTTCAAAATCTGCAAAATAAGCAGACAGTACTATATGGTCCATCACTGCTTAATATTGGAAGATTTACAAGGTATGTAAATATGTATTCTTCCATACATAATTAATGACACACGTAATCTTAAATATACACTTAGATAAGCTCCCAGTTTATTCCTCACTGAATGATATACAAATGATGATCAGTGAAGTGATAAAACAATTCTCTGTCCTTTTTTTCAATGCTATTGACACTTTCACTATTAGTTCTACTGACACTTGGAAGAATACCCGACTGCCGGAGTAGGTGAGTGTACATACAGTAAATTTTAATAAATAAAATGCTGTAGACATTTAGCATTTTACTGTTGTGGCGAGTATATTTTAACACTGGCTAGTAGTGCAGGACCTGAAATTAGGATTCCCTGTTGCAAATCATGCAATAGACATTAGCAATTCAGTGGCTACAGCTAAACTAGTGGCCTTACAATCACCTTACCTTCCCAAACTGTCGCAATAGCTGGATAAATGCTCCTTTTCCAAATGAGTTTGTAAGACTGGCATGAAAAGCTAATGTTGGATAATCCTGGGACAATCGTGCAACCCAGCGTTTCTACAGGGGAACAAAGAAACAGGTTAATGTAATAACGATCAAGTAACACTCTCAATCAGTGCTATATTACAGACACACGCAATTTCATTTCATGTTGTCGGTGTATCAATGAGGAATTTATAAATGTGGCAATGAATTTAATGATTTTTTCCATGACACTAATGCTGCAGAGTGTTTTACTCTGTTGTACAGACTTCCAAATTCAAATCAAGTCCTAGTCACAATAAAAGGGACAAAATGTATCATTTTTGTGGTTCTTGGAATTTTTCCCTGAAACCTCTCCATTAAAGCCTCACTGTCAGCTTCTCCGTTGAGCAATCAATATATATGTACACCCTAGAATGTTCTGCTCTTTTGTAATTTGATTAAAAAAAATGTATGCTTGTGCATATGGTAAGAATATAAACAATGCGACCATTCATCACAAAGTGTAAAATTTACAATATTGCAACACCCACCCCATGTCAATCCTTCAACTTGCCTGCAGTGTAAATCCTCCTCCACAATGCTGACATGCTGGCCTTGCCAGTGTCCCAGCATCTGAACGGAGCGATATCAGTCAATTTGGGACTACACACACACATATATATATATATATATATATATATACACACA